GTAAAAGCTCGCTGCCGAAGGGAATTGTTGAATTTATCAAGGTTCGATTTTCAATTTGAAACACACTCCAAGTTATCTTAAAAGAGCTGTTCAAGTTAATTTCTATTTATTCATTTATTTACTCTAGTGAATGCCTTTTTCTGCAGATGTGCACGCTGAGTTATGGGAAGGTGAAACTGGTGTTGAAGCATAACCGATATTTTGTGGAATCCCGTCATTCGGACGTTATCCAGAAGTTGCTGAAAGATAAAGTCATACAGTCATGCATATTAGAGGACGAGAAACCATTAGAAGAGACTCAGGTTGGCTGGTTTTCAGATGTCGTTTTACTGCTTGTAGCGCTTTTAGTAAAAAAAAAGACGCCACAGCGCTTTCGGGACGATCAGTTTGTTGATTCGGCCTAATTTGAGACTGAGCATAACTTTGCATCCTTTGAAAACTGCTCCAAAGATAGTTGTAAGATTACTGGGCCTCCTGAGTATTGCAAAATCAATCTAACGAGCTACTCACATTTCACAGTTACATTTTATCAATTGAGATCCGCTCTATGTAGCCTGCGCGAGTCGGTGTGTGGGATGTGGGATGACATACCCAGCGTTCGCCACAGGAGCCAGTCCACCCGACGTAGCAGCGTTGCAGCGCGTCAGCTCTCTCTGCGTCTGTCCCCTTTACGTTGGCTTCTTTGTGCTTGTGTTTTTTGTGGTAGGAAACACTCTTTTAGGACGCGCAATGCCGCGAATCGGAAGTAGCGCTCTACCGAACTCTGTACTGAGTGCGGGTACTTTGTTCAGTTATGCGTAGGTATTGTTAGTCTGCACCTTTGGGGAATAGGAGAACCGAATAGTTAGAATTTGACTCCTATCGATTTGGAGAATTTGAAGTTCACGACCCGTATAGACCCGTGTAATGCGCAGATGGGTCCAGTAGATCGAAACATAGTTAGCTCTTTTCGCGGCTTTGCGATTCTCAGGGACTGAGGATATTGAAAAATACTTCACTGTCTGTCACCTTGTCAGTTGTTCCAGCCTTTTCATAATTCCGGTTTTAGACTCAAATCGAAAAGATCAATTTCCCTCAGGAGCAGAAGAAAGAAGAAGAGAAGAAACCTGAAAGTGGCGATGATGTGAGTACTGGATTTGTTCCGTCTTTGTCTGTTGCCTTCCAATTTTTGATGATGTACCACTTTTTCACTAGAAGTCAATTATATGTAGGTCCCAGAGGATATCGGAGAGCTTTATGGTAAGATGGATGGAGATGATGAAGAAGATGCGGAGATTCGAAGCCTGCAATTGCTTACCTTCGAAATTAAACAGGTGATCATTCTGGAACAAAGTTTCGCCGTATTCTTCCCATGCATTTTCAAGGTTCCTTCAAGACCACCGATCTGGGCCTAACAAAACGCTACAGTTTTGGGAAGTATGATGTATCCCCTAGCTTGTCTGCTCACTTCTCAAACCTGCAGTCTTGTTCGCTGCGGGCGCTCGGGCGTGTCAGGGGTCAAGGGGCTCGGTTTAGCGCTGTGTCCTCCGTTTTTGTCGCTTGCCCTCTTCTTCAACAGTTTGTGGGGAAGAGGGTGACACCATATCAAACCTGTCTCCCCCCCCCCGAAAATACCTATAGCGGAGAAGACTGTATGTCGTGGCGGCGAGCAAGAGCGTTAGTGTAAGGACCTAGTTGCATCGAGCGGATGTGTTTTTGGATTTAACATTCTGATCGAGGCCTGAAGTTTATCAAATGCCTCCTGCTCCTATCTGCATTTCAGGCCCTAGGCGCAGACCTGTTTGCGATCCTCTCTGGTATTGCCTACAAGCGCTTGACCCGGTTCACCATTCTCGAAGCCAGTAAGTTTACACGGGATGTGGGTACCATGGCTGCTACTCCCATCAGTTATGCGGCTGCCGCTTACCACTTCCGCATTTTGGGCGTTTTCAGATTTCTCGGTGAAATCATCGATTCTGCTCATTTACTTTTTCCCTTATAGGAAACAATTGAGACGGTGCAAAAACGTTGCATTGAGCTGGAATATCCACTACTAGCCGAGTATGATTTCCGAAATGACACCATGAACCCGAATCTTGGCATTGATCTGAAGCCGTCGACTACTCTGCGTCCTTACCAGGAAAAGAGTTTGCGTAAAATGTTTGGAAATAGCCGTGCGAGGTGAGACTACGTTTTTTAGCGCCCAAGAATAGAATGTGCCTTTTGTTTCATATAGATCTGTGTCCCACCGTTCGAGTCGCTCAATTCTAAACTGTTCTGATCAACTTCACGGAAACCTTTTGTAGGTCCGGAGTAATTGTGTTACCTTGTGGAGCTGGTAAAACCCTTGTGGGTGTCACTGCTGTCACTACAGTGAACAAACGCTGTCTGGTTCTGGCAAACTCCAATGTCTCTGTGGAGCAGTGGCGAGCACAGTTCAAGGTACGCATCAGAAAAATAGATGGAGGACGTTATTTTTACGTTGCAGCCACGCGCATGAACTAGCTGGGCATATACTAGCTAGTTGACTCGACAAATCGCTACATGTTTATCGATTAGGTTGTCACTAACTCTGGGTGCAGGCGCAGTTTGACTTGGTGGGGGCATTTAGCTGGTTCCCATCGATCACTACACTATCGACGCCTTCTGTGGAGACCTGTAATTTCCTGTAAAGCTGCACAATAGCAGGAGAACCGTACACGCTTGAAAAGGTTCTACAGATCTCAAGAAAGTATGACGTGTAGTTTAATAAAAACTAGCAAAAGGAACTAGCGAAAGTGCAAAATGCCCCTCCCAAGCCAAACAGCGCCCGTGGTTGCCGCAGCGTGGTGCTGACGACCATCACCTTAGACAATAATGCACCTTCCCTGAAGACCCTTCACACGTTTTTTTTCAGTTGTGGTCGACAATCGGCGACAAGCAGATTGTAAGATTTACGCGTGAGGCGAAAGATACCGTACCACATGGTGCTGATGCGAGCAAGGTACTGCATAGCCCGGGATTTAAGCCTGTTGTATGCTTGTTCCAGTGCTGTTATAATACTCAAATTCAGCCTGTGGTTTGTATTAGTACTTACTCGATGGTGGCCTATGCCGGTAAACGAACATTTGCTGCTGAAGAGGCGATGAAATTCATTGAGAGCCAGGAGTGGGGACTTTTGTTACTGGATGGTTGGTGTTTTGCCACAATAAAGCTGTGAATGAATTTCTTTGCTACTACCCTATTATTGTTTATTATTGATTCTTGCTTGGGTTCAGAAGTGCACACAATACCTGCGAAGATGTTCCGTCGAGTATTAACTATTGTTCAAGCACATTGTAAACTCGGACTAACTGCCACACTTGTCAGAGAGGACGACAAAATCACCGATCTCAATTTTCTTATAGGTAAATTCTTAGCATTTAAGCTTGAAGAAACATGGGTTTGTGTTTTTCATTTTACAGCTGCTGTTTGAACATAGAGAGTTTTGACTCTTTTCTCAGGTGCAAAAGAGAGGAGGGAAATAAGAAGAGGATTGTTCTGGTAACAGCCTAAAGTAGTCAATTTTCTCTCCTTGTTTGTCTAGTAAATAGTTTGATAGGGTTCTATATGAAGGTGTGGAAGCCGGTCTATCTATGTACCCAAAAACCACTAAAATTATCCACTAAAGACCTCAGAGGCAAAGCGTAGTTCCGTAAATTCGGAAGTTTTGTTTGAATAGGAAGCTGACTTTCTGGGCCTACGATGTATTCCGCTCCTTACATCTTGCTCTCCTTAACACGGTAAAGAGAGAGACGCTCTAGAGAAGGAAATACAATGCTATGCGCCCCGACGGCGATAGATCGCTCCTGAATTCTGTATAAAACCAATTCGACATGACAAAACTGTGCAATTTTGAACGCAAATTTATGTAGCACTTATCAAAGTGAGCGTGTTCGTGCTTGACCATTCTATCTGTTAATCTCGTTTCAGGACCAAAAATTTACGAAGCAAATTGGATGGAACTGCAAAAAGCTGGACATATTGCTAAAGTTCAGTGCGCTGAAGTGTGGTGTCCGATGACGTCAGAGTTCTACGCTTACTACTTGAGGTACGCTTGTTTTTGAAAGTGGTAACTTCTGAGGACACGTGACGCAGGGCTTTACAAAGGCCAAGCATGTGCAGCCGTGCGCTTCACTTGTTTATTATGGGTGCAGCTGCCGTGAGAGGGATGTTTGTGTAGTATCCAAATAAATTCGAAATTTATCCTTGATTTCTTTTGTAATCCTATAAAAATAGGAATAAAACGTTACCGTGCGGTCATCACGAAATGCTGTGCTATGGGGAAAAGTCTGACACCAGGCGAGACTCGAACCTGAAGTTAAACAGCAATCATCGTAGTATCCAACTTCAAAACTTTGTACTGACAAAAGTTTGCGTTTTCATGAGAAAAACAATTTCTTTTCCAAGAAAAGCCTCACTGCTTGAAGGATTCTGTACCATTTTGCTCGCAGACAGCTCTTTCAATTTTATTTTTCTAAGAGGAGGGTTCAGAGAATCTGTTTTATTACATGTTTTTCCCCGCAGTATTCACGTTCTCCTTTCATTGGATCCACTAAAACTTCTGCTTCAGTTTCCATCTCCCGATTTCCACAGTTCATGCATGATTGGTTGTGATTTTAGAGCCCAAATTGCGCGGCGTTTGCTGTTGGCCGTGATGAACCCGAATAAGTTCAGAATCTGCCAGTTCCTCATAAAATTCCACGAGCGTCGCAATGATAAGGTAAGTATGCAAAAATATGTCAGGGGTCATGTAGAACGAAGTGTTACGTTATGTTTCTGTTTGTTAATGTTGCTTTAGTAACACCAAAGGGGCTTTTTTGAAAACAAGTATGTTCTGATGAAGTGGACCCATTTATGGTCCAGTCGACGCTTATCGCGTGGGCGGAGACAGCTGACTGCTGTGTCATCGTCACTGGTACGCCCT